ATAGTATTTGGGACCCTTCTCAGACAAAATGAGTCAGAATCTCTGGATTGCAGGGCCCAGGCCTTAGTTTTTTTTTTCTAAAGCTGATCAAATGATTTTGTATTCAGCAATGGTTCAAAATGGTTCAAATGGTGAGGACGAGGGTGCCTGTAGTCATGTAATAAAATATTACCCATGTGCACACATCCTTGCTTACAAAGTACAATGCACTATATGATAGAGTATGATCTTGTTGATGTGGACTTTTACTAGGATCTACTTTCTAAGTTAAACACAGAATGCCAGTAATAAAAGCTATAATAGCTATTTTATTTCCTTCTCTGGCAGTGCTTTCCCTGCCATTGCTAGGGCTAAACAGTGAAAAAAGAAATCAATCATTAAAAGTATTCCTGACATTTTTGTGACATTCTACTTATTTTATAGATGTTTTACCTCTACGACATGTATAAATTAGGTAGCCCTCGACCCTGTTTATCGATACTTAAAAACAGACAATAATTCAATTATCTCTGAAGTTATAGGAAGCCTAGAAAGATCCATGCTTTGGTACCTGTCACACAGACTGTTTTCTACACTGGAGAGAACATCAATCTTAAATACCTGTAACTGTACATAAATCTCCCTGCAATGATTTAACACTAAAATGGAAAGTCTTTAACATTAAATACATTCCTTTAAATGGCTTGTGTGTGTTGAATGAGACAGAACTTGTTTGTTGAAAGCCAGCGTAGTGAATCGCATGGTGAAAGTTAGTATCCTATTTTTCCGTATATGAGAAACACAAATAATCAGTGAAGACCAGAACAAAAGACAGTAGGACATAGGGGGACAGATCTTTCTCAGGGAGAGAAAGACAGGCGGTGGAAGGATGTGGGGTACGGGGGGGGATAGGGGATGGAAGAGGAATGAAGGTGTGGGGTGCGCATGCCCCAACTCTCAACGGGGCATGTCGTCCTGCTGTACTGCACATGCCGACTAATGCAACATTTAAAAAATTGGCAGCCAAAATAGAAAAAGAAAGCTCCCTCGTAGGTGTAGTGTCACGTGGACCGGCAACCCTTAAATAGGCAAAGCCGCATTCCTAATTCATCATCTCTGCGTGTGTAATTGTGGCTGTGTGGGCTTGTGCAGAGGGAGGTCCTTCTGTTACTAGGGCACAACTCACGGGAAGCATGAAGGCAGCACTAAGCCCAGCCGCATTGTGTTTCTTTCCACCCGCAGTTCTGGATCTAAAAGAAATACCAGGTAGAGCACATTGTTTGTAATAAATCCACTCATTTCCTGAGTCAGCCACTCAGCCTGCCCTCGATCTGCAAGTGGATGTGAGTTATTAAATGGTAGAATTCTCTTTAAGAAAAATCTTTCAAATTATCAGGTTAATCAACGACAAAATAAAATTTACTGCTCAATGGACTTTTTTTTTCTTTGCCAGTGAGCTTTTGGACTTTCTCAGTTCTTATTTTCTTCATTTATATATTGAAACAAAGAATAATTTTTTTAGGGTTCTAAACCAATTAAAGAATGGCTTAGTTTGAGGGGAAATGATTTTCTTTTTCTAAACCTGTAACAGAGATTACTTAACTAACTAAGAGCATCACTGCATTCAGCATGTACTTGTTCTCTTTCCTTACTTTGTTTCTGACTGGATCAGAAGTTCTTTGGGTGCAGAGCACAAGTTCTCTGCGAGACAGGCAAGGTGACCTGTACCTACAATACAAGCTACTTGGGTGATTGGAACAGAAGGATCATTAAGTTTGAGGACAGCTAGGGCAAGTTAGCAAGATCTTGTGTTGTAATACAGATTTAAAAGGGGTGGGAAATGTATCTGGGTGGTAGAGTAACTGCCAGGCATGCTTGAGACCCCGGATTCAATCCCCAGAAGCACACACACACAAGAAGAAGAAAAAACAAGGAAGGAAAGGGCCGGCCAGCTAGCTCAGCAGACTGAAGTGCTTGCTTAGGCAGGTTCAGCAGCTGGGGTTTGATACCCTCCATGCTGTGCTGGCCTGGTCCCTGGGGCGTGCTGAGACAGCAACTGAGACTGGATGTGGTGGTGCATGCCTGTAATCCCAGCACTTGGGAGGCTGAAAACAGGAGAATCACTATGAGTCCGATCTGTATAGTGAGACCCTATAGATCCTGTACTAAATACATTTTTAAAAAATGAAGGAAAGAAACAAGAAAAAAAACTTCTTGGTACTCATATATCTATATAAGAATGTTATTATAGAGAAATTTAATAACTAGCTGATTTTGTTTAGCACAACAAAAGTCACTGTCCTAAAAAGATTATAGGGAAATATACGGTGCAAAAATTTGCTTGGAAATTCATTTTGTCTTAGAACTTTAATTCCCCATACCATAAAAGGCCTTTAGTATTTTCTTCAAATGGAACTTGCTATGAAGGTCCCACCTGGAATACAGGAGGATAAATTTATAATACATCCAAATTTTTTCAAGAAGTAGCATTTGACAGAAGATAATTCTTGTTCAAGGTCTCATAGTTTCAATATTAAATTAAATAATATGTGCTGAAGCCTTCCTATTTCCTATTTTTTGGGGCTTTAATCTCTCCTTGTGTGTGTGTACATGTGTGCTCACACACATGCATTTATGTACAGGTGTGTAAATGTCTGTGTGTGCACTCAAGTATACTCAGCCACCCTCCTGCCCACTGTGAAAAGCAGCTCAATCCTGGGATATCTCTGTGGTCCTCTCAAGGACTAATGAATAAAGGACTTAAATATTTTGTATTATGTAAAAACTCACTAATGGTATGCTCATTGCTACCAATCCTGCTTAGGTTGTCAATTGGAAAAGCAGAAATCTCATAGATTCTAGGCTTCACAAGTGCTCGTCTGGGGCAGTTCCTGGGCAGGTTGGGCCTCAGGGATTCAGTTGAGTTCTGAGGAAGCCTTTTTCCACGCAGAAGGTGATGTTACTGCCTCCCCACAACAGTCCTGATGGCTCCTTGTGTATCTGGAATGTGCAATGCCCTAGAACAATCCAGACAGAGCCACCATGCACTCAGTACCAACTTACAGCGAATACATTTTGCCGATCACAGGAGAGGCCGGTACCATGTAGAAGCAGTATTATACATGTGTACTTAGTCTGTGCTGGTATTTAGGTTTAGTAACCTCTTTGAAAGGAGAAAATGGCTGATTTGGCTTGCAGTCATTTCTTAGCTGGAAAATTCTACATGACTTGATTATTTTTCTCCTGAACTGTTCTGTCTTCAAATAGGTTTTGTGCCTTTAAGGGGAAATATGATTGTGCTTCATGCTATGTATACATGTATTTAAATGAACGATTAATGAAAATTGTTCTCAATTAATTTTTTTTAAAAAGGCTACAGTACTATTTTGCGGAGGCAGAGCAAATCTTCCCCGATGTGTCATGGTGCAGTCACTCTTGGAAAGCAATGGCTCAAAAATTGAGTAAACATCGAGCCCATAAAGGAGAGGTTTCTTCACATTGTGTAAAATTGGCTCTTTGAAGAGCGGTGGAAAATTTCGAGAGGAGCGCAGGGATTTTTTCACCATGATGGTAGCTGGTACTCGCCCTGGGCAGCCCCAAAGTGGAGAAGCCCTCCCCACATCTCCATGCCACGCATAGCCGGAGCTGGCTGCCAGCTGTCATCGGGCGACCCCACCCCGCCCTGTCCTGGGCAGGGGCAGCCCTGGCTTAGACAGAGGCTCCCAGCACTTCTTCCTGCCACTCCTTCCCAGCCAGAGGGTCATGGACAGGGTGAGGAGCCATTGCTGGCTGACCTCATTCCTTTAGACTCTGCTTTCCCTCCCAGACCCAATCCGTAGGGCAAAAGCCATTTTGGCCCCAGGGACCCCTGTCTCTAATTTATCAAACTTGTGCCCCCCCCCCCCCCCCCCCGTGCTCCCTGAAACCCTAACCCAGCCAGTGACAGCTTTCTCAGCTCCATCCCTTATGCCGCAGAGAGGAAAGCAAGGCCTGGCTTCCTGCTCCTTGGCAGATGGAGGGTCGCACTGGGAGCCTCACCTGCCCAGCACCCACTACTCCAGGCTCCTCTCACCTTTGAGTGTCTGCCCAGCTGTTGTCACCCTTGGCTTACACTGCAATGGACTAGAGAGACCAGGGACCTCGCCGCGGTTCCCATGCAGTGGGAAACTTACAGGAATAGATGAGCACGCAATGTCAAACTGTTCAAACCGGATGGTTCTGGTATCAAAAATCCTTGGGATAAGAGAGGAAATCCAAATAATAACAACGATTTTAGTTTCTAAGAACAATCAGAAATAGAAGGCAAAAGTTAACTTCCATCAGATTCCATTTTCTACCCCAGTCTGTCTGACCGCTGAATGGGCTCAGCCAGCAGCCTATCCAAGAGAGAAAGTAGAAAGTCAGGGGCTCAGGGCAAAGGGAGGCAGGGCTGCATGCAGGGAGTGCTGCCAGACAGAGGGGTCCCAAGCCTGGATTGCAGCTTCGCCACCGGGACAGGAGTGCCACCGCCAGGCCTTGGGACCACAAGGCATCCCACTGGATCTAAGGAAGCACAGTCCTGGGTGGACCCTGGAAGCTGGACCAGGCCAGGGAGCTCCCATCGAACTGGAAAGGGACACAGCCTGGGCTCCCAGAGATTTCCAGGATGTGAAGGGTGAAGGGCGCTGGACGCACGCTGAGGTTCTGAGGGGCAGGGTGTGTGTGTGTGTGTGTGTGTGTGTGTGTGTGTGTGTGTGTGCCGGGTGTGAGTCCACTCAAAACAGACAGCTGATGGACGAGACTGGGGCCCTCCATGACGCACACCACAGTTCTCCAGGCCGGGAGAGGACCACTCAATGACGCCTGTCACCCTGGCAACCCCGGCCGCCCACGGCTTGGGGTGATGATCCCGGAGGCCATGGCCCTCTGTCCCCGCGCCCACTTCATCCCGTGGAGGTCGAGGCCACGATGGAAAAGTTTGGGGAGGAGCCGCGATCCAGGAGGACATGTTTGCATTCCTCAGACACTGCTCTTAGGTGCCTGGACAGGGAGGAGGACATCCGGACAGTCCCTGCCTGCCACTCCTCCCGGGGGCTGAGGTTATGAAACTCCGGGCACTTTGAACCCATCCTAGGCCCCTCCCCAGACTTATATAGGTCGTGGAGCGGGGCAGTGGGACTCACTTGCCTGGTAGCCCCGGTGTTAGAGGGACTCCGCAAACGCGTGGCCCCAGGCTCCGCCGCAGCTCAGCGCCTCTCCTGGGCGTCTGCTTGCGCAGAGCGCAGCCTGAACTCCTGCGCTTCGCCACCCGCCGCCGCACCTAGCAGGATGGAGACGTTTCCCGCGGGCCCGGCCCGGGCGCTGCTGCTTTGCCTGGGTAAGCCTCACAGCCCCCTCCGCAGTAGAGGAGACAGCACTACCTGGGCATGTGTCCCGAGACATGTGCGGAGCTGTCCAGAGTCAACGCGCCAGCCAAAGATGTCTCTCTGAGTTGTCTTTCCCTGCAGGGGGCTGCGGGCGCAAGGGGAGCGAAGATGCAAACACCTCCCCGGGCTGAACTGATGACTGGTGTTTATGTCATGCTGCATTAATACGGCTTCCTGTTGAGCGAAATAAACTTGAAAACTGTTGCTTTTTTCTTCTGAATGTCTGCCAGATCTGGAAACCCCAGGGCCAAGGCGGGACTGGTGCTGGCGCTCGGCTCCTTCTCGGTGGTGCGGAGGGTGGGACCGAGGGTGGGACCCTTGTGAGAAGCACGGTTTCAGGCTCTCTGGGCACGGAGAATCCGTGTGCCTCACCCGGCCCCGCGGGTTAGTTCTGGAACCACGAAGCAGGAGCTCGTTGGTCGCGTACTCTTCCGTGCCTCTCGGGTTACGAAGGAAATCAGCGCCCGGAGTTCCTCAGGCTGCAGGGAGCCGGCGTTGTGTGTGCGTCAATGTGTTCGTGCTGCTAGCTACTCCAGTCAGGGAATCCCGCTTCCCAGGCGATTTCCCGCTGCAGCTGTGGCCACCAGGGGTCTCTGCAGCGGGTAGCAGGGACGCTGTGCCCTGCAGCAGCTTGGGCGGCTGCATCTCGACTCGGACCTGAGATGAGGTTCTTGGTGAGGCTGAGGCAGGAAAGACCTGCAGAAGGTTTGAGAAAGTCTGTGGCGCTCGGTGGTTTGCTCTGAGGTGGATTAAGAAGAGTGAGAAAGAGAAACCCGTAACCGAAGGGGAGACTTTGTCCTCAAACTGCCGGCTGACCGCTGTCCCCACTTGGCACTGCAGGGCCCATGGCACCTGCGAGGACGCCGGCAAGGCCCCGTGGCCTGGGGACAGCATTGCCCTGCCAGCCAGGGCCACGTTATGTTTTGTTGTCATGAAAGTGCTTAGCTCCTTGATTGCATTATTTAATTACAGCTCACCGATTTCATCAGTCGCCCAGCCCATTCCTAAGTGCGCTGGGTCAGTTTCTGTTTTCCCAGTCTGTTCAGATGTTTCTCTGCCACAGGAAAGCAGTTGCAGCT